TTTGAGTTATAAATGTCACAACGCCTGGTTCCTATCACCTCCACTGCAAAAAAATCTGAGTCTTTCGATTTCTCCACAATGAAACCATTTCACACCAAACCACTCTCAATGACTTTATTTACTTTTTACTTGTTAAATTTATGCAGAAATGTTGAAAAAAATGATGGGATTTCCTTTAAATGAATCAAAATAGACAGAAAACTGAACATCAAAAGTTAAAAAAGTCCAGGAAAAGTATAGAGTTTCTTCACATGTACAGGGCGAGAACATGTGCGAGCTTAGACTCTTTTGAAGTGGCTCTCTAGTGAATCAGGAAACAGGTGCACACACAGATGATGTTTTTGATGCTTTGGTGCCTGTTTACTTTCCCTGCGTTAAAAAAATGTACTCAGTTGTTTTAACCTTTGCTCATCCTTCTCTGAACTTTTATCTCCATGGAGATGTGTAGATATTCATCGTTTGTGTTCATCTTTTCTGCTGGCTAGTAACCTCAGGGGAAAAACACAAAGTGTTCAGCCCTTATTGTTATTCCAACACTTCCCTTCTTTTTCTCCATCTCTGTTCCCTCTATTTCTCTCCCTCACTCTCACACAGATTTTGTTGCTAAAGGAATAGCTCGACCAGGTCTGCTACTGTGGCTAACAATGTATGGAAGCTAATAGCCCCTGTTTAACATGATGTCATTTGCATGATGCTAATTGGTGGCTATTCACTTTCATTCATTGTTAGCAGTCTTTGTTGACTAAACTAAACTGAATTGTCATCGGTTATGCGTTAAGTATTTCTGTTTGTCTCTTTCAACTGATTAAAATTTATCCCTCAGAGTAATTACTGAGCGTGCATGTCCACTTTGGCAACTAGAATGGATCAGCATGTGGAACTGGAGCTTTCTGTGTGCTACTGTGCTTCCTATCACTGTATGAAAGAAGCTTCATTTCCCAACAGCCCACACTCTGAACTGTATCATAGCATCAATCATGATGAAAAAAATTTAATATTTAGACATATAGGCCCAAATAAGTCATTTACACAAATTTGAGCCAGTTCAGTTCACACAGTGTCCCCCCTTTACTGCCTTATCATCAGTGGGTCAAACTTCAGTCCTTTACCGATTCTACTATTCCCCACCCCAAGACACACGATTCAGCTCATCAGGTAAATAATGAGTGTCCAACATTGAATCCAATGTTTTGTTGTGGCTGTGAATACATGTAACCGCTTGGTTTTCACCTTATTGTATATTTTGCATACAAAATAATACCAGAATGTAAAACATTAAGTTTCTGTTTAAATCAATCTTCCTACCGATTTGGTTCAGAGATCAAAACGCATGTTGGACATTTAACTGGCTCTAAACTTTAGACTAAAATCATTTTGCTTTGAGTGATTTTATTAAAATGATTGAACGTTCCATGTTGTCACTAACAAAATAATCTTAACACTACCGAAAACTTTACCAAATGTTTCAGTACTGATTGTTTCAGTAGTGACAATATTAAGCAAATTAAAAATTAGCCAGTTAGCCAGTACATGACTACAAACACAAACACAGCTTTGATCATCATATCATCATATTTTTCATTAAAACACAAAAAAAGTTTAATTGCAGAAATTATGTGTTTCGGTAATGACGATTCTTAATGTTCTACACTGATTTTCAGACTGTGGGACACATTTACTTCAAAACAGTGGGAACCAGCTACTCACTATGTGGCCGTTAGGGGCAGGGATGCTGTCACACTTCCTGCTCTAAAATGCAAAATCAGGCTCTGCCTATGGACTAAAACTCTTTTTATTTTGGTAGTAAATTGAAAATGTGGGATAGCAAGTTTTCCATTATTTAAAACTCAAACTCATGATAAATCTAAATCTTTCAGTGTTACTTTGAAAATAAATAAAAAGATCTTTAAAAAAACACTGTGAAAAAATCTAAGTTTTATTTTTACCAGTGTAAATTTAGTGGTTAGGGTTTGGGACAGACATCTCCCAATACAAAGTACCTTATAAATGATCATTTTTTAAAAATATATTCAGCTAATTACTTTCTTAATGAATGCACTGGATTTAAATTGATAATCTTTGAATATATCTAAGATCTGAATACTAAAGCAACATATATATAAAAAAAAAAAAACTTTCTATCATCAGTTGCTTTCTAAAAACAGTTGATAGCTTAAAAAATGAAATACATCAACAAAATCAGTGCTTTGCTTTCTGAGGATTAAAGGTTCATTCATGTAATAGAAAAAAAACGTAATTTTGAATTATTTCTATTGGTCCATTCATAAGAGGTTCTCTTATGAGAGCAGTGGTTTGTTCTTTGACATTTCTAGCTGTACTCTTTTTTCTCCCAGTCTCATTTTCACACACTGATGTGCGTAACCTGAGCATTTTGCCTCCTCTTTAAGCCTCCACCTCCCTCGGCTGATTTTAATCCTTGTCACCACGGCAACTAAATTCAAATCCAAACCACTGGCACTAGGTACTATGGCAACACTTTAGCAGATGATGATTCTCACAGTGTTGGACACTCAGAGAGACGTTATATGACCTAAATCTGTATCTGTGTGTGTGGACGGGCCAGTTAGATCAGCCTGTTTAAGCTCTGATTTCCTGCTGGGTTTAACACTGTGCTGTAGTGTGGAGGGGAGTAAACCACAGCTCATGTGTTGCTGCTGTTATGGCAGGCTGAATTCCACAGTGCCTCCTCTCCTCTGGGACGGGGTTAATGATTACCCTCACCACCCGCTCTCACAAACATCACAGCACGAGACACGCTTCAGCAGAGCACATGTGCAGTTCTAAACAGAACAGTGCTGTCCTGCAGCTACACGTATGCAGATACTGTCCTATAGCCTTTTTTTCCACATATGGCTTTATTATGCTTCCAGAGATTTAATATAGATGGGTTGTTATATTGAATTCAGTTATAATAAGAAGAAGAATATTAAAGGGCCCATTTTCTACATTTTTCTTGTATTTTATTTTCCCTTGAGGTCCACATAGAATGTTTGTCTGGTTTTATGTACCAAAATCTGGCTGGTATTGTGCTTTGTTCAAAAAGCAAAGCAGCCCAGGCTGAAACACTCCTTATAACTTCATCATGAAAGGGTGAGACAAAATGTCTGTAGGCTGAATAGGTGGATGTATGTAAAGGTGTTGGTTTTTGTGACATCATGAAAACACTGAATTCAAAACAGGCTGTTTTCATGCCTTAATTTGCATACAGAGACTGTATGGACTGGGGAGTGAATGGTACATTTTGAAACTTTAACAGTGTTTACACACTACATTAAACTATTAATGAGTAAAATTCAGTTTTCCATGATTTGTGCCCTTTAATAAATGTAATAACATTAAGAGTGCTGTTAAAGTTAGTGCATCATAAATAATAAACGTTGTGTTTTTTAAATGCTGTTAATGCAATTTCCTTGTAAACAATTCATAGAAGTGCAGACTGAAGCTCATCTACAGAAAACTGTATGTTGCCATGAGTCTGCAACTGTAGGCCTTTCACTCAAATACAGCTTTTAAATGTCTTTTAAAGCAGCAACTTAAGCCCCTTCAGCAGACAACACTGGACAGTGCTCACGGGAGAACTATAAGTAAATCAACAAGCAGCAAACTAACAAAAGCAACAGAAGCAGTAAAGTGGAGCTCTATTGGAGTGAACTATTGACTGTAAATATGATATATATATAGTGTACTTTTATTTATAAAAACCTACAAGAGTATGGACAGAATTGAGGCTTCAAGACACTGCTACTGTTTTTAGCTATGCTGCATACTCTTGCTCGTGTTTATAGACAACAGTACGTCATACAGTTTCAGAAACCATGTAAGTATTAGAGGTTACTTAACAACTCAAAATGGTTTGAGACACGTTTGTGATTATTTAGGCATAAACTATGCTAATTGATAGGGTTTAATTGATTAGGGTTTCTATCATTTATTATCTACATATTTGAAACCTGTTATCTGTGTCAAAAGCACCAAAACACCTGATTGACCTGATCATTAAGCCCTTCGTTAGCTTAGTCAGGTGTGGTAGAGCAGGTGTAGTGTGACACCTACTGAAGTGAATGGAGAGGAGAAGAGTTTTAGCTTTTACTGCTGTATTACAGTTTAAAGCCCAGGACAGTTTAAATGACTCCTCCAAGACACAGAGAATAAAGCAGTCTTTGAAAAGTTTTTTTGAGAGAGAGAGAGAGAGAGAGAGAGAGAGAGAGAGAGAGGGGGAAGGAGAGGAGGGGTGAGTCAGTGTGCGCTGTCACCCCAGGGTGTAGTCACCTGGCAACTGAGAGATAGAGTTTCAAAGCCTGCAGAAGCCCTCGCTGTGTTTACTTTTGATTGGTGGAGAGAGGCTGTGTTTAAGTGTTTTGAAATATGAAACTTGGATATGAAGTTTATTTGTTTTCTTTTTTATGTAGGGATTAAGAAAAAGTGGTAATGCTGACACTTTCATGTAATAAATACAGCTGTGTGCAAAAGCGTACACCCCTACTCAGTGTAAATAACACATCCTCTACAGGAACCAAAAAAATAAAATATTAATTTCTGCAAATTTTAGTTCATATTTATTTGCTGATTTTAACATATTGAAAAAAAAATAGTAAAATAATAAGCATAATTTGACTGTGCGTGTCCGGTGCTTCTGCGTCTTATGTGATTTACACATGATCTGTCATGGAGGCCTGAACTGAATGAAATCCTGTATCTCAAGAGACATACCTTGTTATATAAGTGCTAAATTGATTAATTAACCTTAAACTGCAGGGTCTCACATGTAGACTCCCAGTGCATTTCTTATATGCTTATAACAATGTAAGTTTAGGGAATAATTCATACTTTGTGTCTTAATATTAACCTACAGTTAAAATGGGTTTAAAGCTTTGTAAATAATCAATATATATTTTATAACAACAAATTATAATGGAAAGCTTTGCTAAGTTCTGGAGACCTGGTTCTCTGACCCTCTATCCCCCCTGATTGTTCCCCAGGTCGAGTGTCTCTCTCAGATGGAACAGCTCTAAGGGTGAAGGGCCTGGTGCTGGAAGATGAGGGCTGGTACGAGTGTCGCATTCTTCTGCTGGACAAACCATCTGATGAGACACGGAATGGGAGCTGGACACTGCTGTCGGTCACAGGTGAGCCACCCTGTCTTATAAAAGTGAACTGGGCCTAACGGATGTATCACTGAAGTGATGAAATCAACTGATTTTTAGGTTCACGAATTTATCAGTATAGGTGATATATACTATATTGATATAGTACTGATATTGTTCAAATGTTCAAATGTCATACAAGAAAACAACAATATGCAATATTATCTTGCAGTTTAATAAAACATTTCATTTAATACACATAAGAGAATTTGGTTCTTTTTGGAGATTTTGATGCTCTGTTGCCAACATTTACAAAGGCTTCTCAGTTGGTAGTATCCAGTTGCTCTTTTTCACTATAGCAATATAGACTGAATTGCAAACCACCATCATGGTTCGAATAAACATGTAGATGCATCCAATCTTAAAGGACTTAAATCCACCTATTAAAAAAAATCTGCAGAATTACATGGTGTGAAATTGTTCACTGTAGACAGATTTACTGATATTTCCTTACAGCAGTGGTAATTAATAGGAACCAGATGTCACAATGTCTACACAAAAAATATAGCCATTTTATTTACTATCCACCAGTGATTGACCAGTAAACCTACACAAGTTTTATATGTTTTTATGATTGTTTGATAGTGGTGTTTATATCTAAAATTAAAACTTTCTTTGGCGGTGATACCTTAGAACATTCTGGACACTAACATTTATATGTTTGAAAATGTGAAAAAGGAGCTAATTAACAGAAAAACAGCTTAGCATGCTGATATTTTCATAGTAGCTGGACCTATAAGTTAGATAGTGAAAGACATCCTCTACTGGAAATGCTCCTTTGAGTAAAAAAACAGACATCTGTGAGGATCTCTGAATGAGAACAAATGTAAATGTGAAGTAAGGAACCAGCATTAACAAGAATCAGTGCCTCTGTGCCCCACAGCTGTTGAAGCTACTCAGTCTAGACACAAAAGCATTGCATTCATCCCGTCGACCCAAGCTCATTGCACACAACACTCTCATGCTAAAAAATGAATGCCCATGCAGTTCTTCACACTCTGCACCTGTTACCTGGCTGTGCTACACCTGTCATGGAAGGCTGCCTCAGCTCATTTAGCCACGCCCTGGAGCACCAGCCTCACTGAACCACAGCAAAGGCCAGGTTACAGCAGCTATTCCTGACCTGGCCTAGAGCCAGCTGTGTGGAACAAGTAGTTGTCAGCTAACTTTGAAACAAGCTTTGGCTTCCTCAAAGCGAACAACAAAAGCAGATTTGAGATTAAGGGTACACAAACATGGTTAATGGACTGGAAAACGCAAGCATGTTCAAGAAACAATGCTTGCCAAAGCTGGCTGAATGAGTAAGCCTGTTATGAGGAAGAGAGCGCACATTACTCAGATGTTATCCCTCTTGTAAAATGCCTGTATCATGTATTAGGTTACTAAGCTACATTAGACTTGCCCAATAGGCCAGACTACCCTATCTGCAAAAAATAGGTTAGGTTACAGGTTACCCCAGCTGTAGAGGCATGCCCCGGTTACCCAAGCTGTACAGGGTATACTGTATAACCCAGGTTGCCCCAACTGTAAAGTGTATGTCCACATAAGCTGGGTCATCCCAGCTGTAAAGGGCATGCCCAATAAGCTAGGTTACCCTGCCTATAAAGGGTATGCCCCATAGGCTAGGCTACCACTGCAATAAAAGGTATGCCCCATAGATTTGGTTACCTCTGTTGTATAAAGTATGCCCCACAGCCTTGCTACTCAAGCTACATGGAATATACCCCACAGGCCAGGTTACTTCAACTGTAAAAGATATGCCTCATAGGGCAGGTTGCCTCATCTGTAAAAGGTATGCGTTAAAGGCTAGGTTACTGCAGCTTTAAATGGTATGCCTTATAGGCCAGGTTACCCAAGCTATAAAGGACTTGCTTAACTCAACTGAAAAAGGTGTGCCCCAAAGACTTGGCTACCCCAACTGTAAAGAGTATGACCAATACGCTAGGTTACCCCAGGCGATAAGGATATGCCTCAAAGGTTTGGTTACTCCAGCGGTAAAGAGTATGGCCCCAAGATTTGGCCACCGCAGCTGTAAAGGGTATGCCCCAGGACTTGGTTGTCCCAGCTGTAAAGAGTATGTCCCAAAGACTTGATCATCTAAGCTGTAAAGGGTATACCCCCAAGACTTGATCACCCCAGCTGTAAAGGGTTTGGCCCCAAGACTTGATCACCCCAGCTGTAAAGTGTATTCCCCCAAGACTTGATCACCCCAGCTGTAAGGTGTATTCTTGAAAGACTTGATCACCCCAGCTGTAAAGGGTATTCCCCCAAGACTTGATCACCCCAGCTCTGTGAAGTGTATTCTTGCAAGATTGATTACCCCAGCTGTAAAGGGTATTCACCCAAGACTTAAATCACCCCAGCTGCAAGGTGTATACTTGAAAGACTTGATTACCCCAGTTGTAAAGGGTATTCCTGCAAAACATGATCACCACAGCTGTAAAAGGTATTCCCCCAAGACTTGATCACCCCAGCTGTAAAGGGTGTGCTCCAAAGACTGGGTTACCCTAGTTGTAAAGGGCAGGCCACTTCTGCTGTAAAGAGTAGCCCATAGGTTAGGTTACCCGAGCTCTAAAAGATATGTCCCATAGGCCAGGTTACCCCTGGTGTATAAGTATATCCCATAGGCTAGGTTAGCTTAACTGAAAGGGTATGAACCATTGGGCTAGGTTAACCTGCACTTCACGCCTTCACAGGACAAACCAGCAGGACAATTTTCAGCACAACAAGAAAGACTTCTGAATAATAAAGGCTGCACTAAAATAAATGTGCAGTATATAGGTACTTGAGCTTGTTCCACTATTTCCGACAGGGGCTTTAGTAATTACTCTGGTAGAGCAGCAGTGATCTATGAACATAAGATTTATTTGTAATGTTAACCACTAGTCCTTGAAGCATTTCAGCCCCCTGTCAATAAAACCAGTAATCTGTTTAAATAATGTGTATAATGTGTTAATAATCACCATCTCATGTTGCTCTTTGATATATGCTGTATGTTTACTTCTGTGTTTAGCTCCGCCTGTGTTCGTTGAAGCCCCGCCTCCAGTCACAGAAGCCTTCCTGGGTAGGCCATTCACGCTGAAGTGTGTCGCCCGTGGCAACCCTCCACCGTCTATCAAATGGCATAAGGATGGAGTTCTAATGAAACAGAAGGCCAATGTAAAGGTGAGAAACTTCTAAGGGTTGTAACACCTGTTGGAGTAGAAGAAACTGTTCTTCACACAGCAATGATTTATTTTTGATAAAACACAAGTTTGGAATTGCTTGTCAAACGTTTAGAATCACTGTTTTCAATAATAGAAAACTATTTTTTTTTTGCAGATAAATTTATAAAATGTTTCTCTGTGTACTTCACAGATTTTAGATAACTAGAAGGACATGAGAAAGCTGTAAATATAAAGAAAGAAATGTTAGACAGGTCTAGAATGATGAACAGAGCTGTAGAAGATTTGAAATATGACCAAGAAACCTGTAGAACATCAAGAATTAAGTTAATATTACACACTTTCCAGAATTCAACAGTGCATATCAACTCCCAAGACAGAAAACTTGAGATGTCAAAAATACATATTATTATAAACATAAATTATTTTTATAATATTAAAATTATTAATACAGCAAGTGGTAGAAACATGCTCTCATTAAATTGTGAATCATTAATAAATAGAAGTTCTTTATTAATAAATAATGACAGAAGATTTTTTTAGGTTGAAATTACACTGTGTGTTGATGACTTGGGAACATTTGTGTCTTTCATCATCTCTTCCATTTTCCACTCCACCAAAATTTCCATGAATCTGCTCCACCCTTCCTGTCTGCTTTTATGTCTGTACTTCCCCCCCTCACTCTCTCTGTTCTCTCTTTCTCTCCTGCCTCTCCCTTTCCTCACCTGTCTCTCCCATTCTTTTCCCTCACTGTCACTCTTTCTTTTTTATTCTCATTTTTGCTTTTCTTTCTCTCTCTCTTTTTACTCTTTTTCCTTCCCCTCCTCTCTCTCTGCATCCCCACTCGCTCTTGCATGTTCTCTCTCTCTCTCTGTTTCTTTTTTCTTTCTCACACTCTTTCTTTTTCTCCATCCATCTTCTCTCTGTCTCCCGCATTCTTTTTCTCTCTCTTTCTCACTCTCTTTATTTTCCTTTCACTCTCTCTCCCTTGCTCACCCACTTCCTCTTTCTTTCTTTTGCTGTGTCTTCTCTTTCTCTCTCTTCTACATTCTCTATCTCTACCCACTCACTCTTGCACATTCTCTCTGTGTCTCTCTCTTTTTTCTTTATTTTTCACTCACTCTTTCTTTTCACTCATTCCATCCTCTCTGTCTTTCTTTCTTTCTGACTCTCTGTATTTTTCTCTCACTCTCTCTTTCCCTTGCTCGCTACCTCTTTCTTTCTCTCTCCCTATCTTTCTAATTCTTTTTCCCTCTCTTTTCACGCTTTCTCTGTTCCCTGACCTCTCCGTCTCTATCTTTTTCTTTCTTTCTCCACCCTCTCTTTCTGTCTTTCTCTCGGTATTTCTCTTTGTCCCCCCCCCTCTCTCTCTCTCTTTCTCTCACTCCGTTTTTTTGTTCTTTTTCTCTCACTCTGGCTTTCTCTCTGCCCTCTCTATCTCTTTCTCACCCCTCTTTCTCTCTCGTTCTCTCTCTCTAACAGATTGTGAATGGAAGTCTGTCTGTTGGCTCAGTGAGCAGACAGACTGCAGGACGATATCAGTGCCAGGCCTCAAACAGTGAGGGAAATGATACCCGCACCATACAGCTCAGGGTCAAAGGTCAGTGCCCTCATGCCCCTCTCTTCTCTCACTCGTTCAGACCACAACTATCCAGAACTGTTGATAAGAGTTCGGAGTGATTACCTTGTTCACTCATTCACTATTCACTGTGTACAATTTGCTCTATAGTGAACCGACTGTGGGTGACTATGAAACATACAACAGATTTATTAATAAGGATTCAAGCAGCACTACAGAACAGCTACCACACTGTATAAAGCTCTATTTCTCTAATAGGAAGCAATTTTGAATGCACTGCTTCTCAAATCTAACCCTAATTTCCCTCGTCTAACACACCTGACTCAGCTCATCAGCTAATTAACCACCCCCTCGAGCCGAGCTCTTAATTATGATTAAATTACGAATAAATGGAGCTGAATGAGGTGAGTTTTTAGAGAAGGGAAAGCATGAACTGTACAGTGCAATAATATAAGACAAGAGATGCAGAATCCTGATCCTGATGTAAATACAGTATCGTTATCTGAGATACATTGTAGTTTTTTGTCCCAGTTAAATTGACTAAGCAAATCCTGCCATCTAGTGGTGAGTTTGAGGAATCTACTGGAGTTGCACTGCAATAATGTGAGAAAATGCTTAAGTATTAAGAAGGTAAATAAATAAATACTCCATGATGCATTGCAGTGCCTGTATGGGAAGGTATTTGAGTAGATTATAAGTTGAATAAATAATATAAAATTTAATATGTAATTTAAAAATCTTTTAGATAAATGTACAAAATGATTCCACTACGATGCTAGTACTGTGCAAAGTCCAAAGTTTTAAATCATTTAAAAAAATGCTGCAAAATGTTTATATGTGTCCAGAATGATAAACAGAGCTATAAAAGTTTCTAAAAAATGAGAAAAGCTGTAAAATGCAGATAATAAAGTTATTATAAAGTCCAGAATGAGTATTTGAAAAGAGGTGATCAAATCTCAGGGTAAAATACAAGAAATATTTAGAAGTTTGTTGTTCCTTTTTTTCTGGCTCAATACAGGTCCTCCTGTTATCATAACCCCCCCAAAGGACATGGTCCTGAACATGTCCCAGAATGCTTTGCTGCAGTGTCAGGCAGAGGCAGACCCTCCGAACATGACGTATGTGTGGATGAGAGAGGAAGAAAACGTGTACCATATCGAGTGAGTTACACTTCACCACCCTTCGTTACAAACACACAGTGGTGGACAGCATGCAAGTACTTTTTCTGTATTTTTTAAAAGTATTTCCAGTTTTTGAGACTTACTTCCTTTCCACTACATTTCGCAGTAAAATGTTGTACCTTTTCCTTCACTTCTTCCTGCAGGGCACTAAGAAATAAAAAAAAATAGATTTCCATAATATACAGAGGAATATTATTTCCATAATATACAGAACAATATGATGCACCTTCACAGTTCAATCTAACCAATCACTATACATCTTTGCAACTAACTCCCTTTTCTAAATACTGAATGTCCAATCATAGTTTGGCAGCTGTTCCTAGACTCAGGCACCTATGACAGCCTTTCAGGATTAAAGAAAATGCTGTAATGTTTTAAATATCAGATTCAGGATATACCAGCAATTTGGATGGGAAGTAAAATTTTATCCATTTCCTGACGCCTGAAGACACAAGAGGAGAAACAATGGATTGTTATCTCACAATACGTTTGCTTTTGATGATGAAGTATGTGTAAATTAGACACTTCTGTACTTTAACTCAAGTAAATATATAAATACATCACAGATAATTGTATTATATTTAACCAAGGAAATATCTCAGGGTTAACTGATATAAGGGTAATAAGATTGTAGCACGTCATGCACTACCATGCTCAAAAAGGACACTGGAGGCAGGAAAAACATTTGCAGCAGCCATTCATTTAATATCCACACTTACACAAAATAAACAACAAAACCAACGCTTTTCAGTGGCTTTCAACTATCTAGACCTTTCTATCTTTTTTAAAGTAAGTTTCAGCTCGGTCCTCAGTCTTTTATTGCTGCTCGTTCCTCTCTCTCGCTCTGTTCCCTCTCAGCTCTTTAAAAAGGCACTCACGCTGCCAGCCAGATCAGCATCAGCTGGCTCTCATTAAGGGCAGCGTGAGCACCCGAGCCGAGAAGGAACCAGAGCTCGCTGCTTCACCTCCTCGTCACCATCCCCAGCTCGCAGCTCGGCCGCCCGGGTCAAACGTGAGGTGTAGTGAAGCGGCCTAGCTGCGGAACAGGGATCGGGGCCCGGGTACGCGTCCCTCGGCGGAGCTCAGGCTTTGCGCTCCGCCCCCCACCCACTCATGGCTCTCTCCTTGCTGTCCTCGCCGGGGTTCGTCGCCGCTCAATGTTCGGGCCCTGCCTTCTGGCTGCGAGATAAACACAGTTCACTCATTTTTATTTAGATCTCACTGATCTAACGCCAGTCATTTAACTTTGCACTTTCAGATAACCTCTAAATGGGTCTCATTTTAGCAATAGTTGCAGTGTTGTGTGGAACAATTGGCCTGCTGACTAAACTATCGTTAGCTTAGCCAAAACTCTACAGCCTCAAACACCACAGAAGAGGCTTTCTGTCACTTCTTGACTTTTACTCTTTCAGATATTAGTTTACAGTTGTCCCAGCAGAGCAGCAGTTAGTCAGAATCAGTCAAGTAACTTTGGTGTCAGTGCTTTAGTTAGCCAGAAGCAAACCTGTTCTGTTGTACTGTGGTGAGCACAGTTGTTATCATTGTAGCTAAGCTAATGTTAACCAGCTCTTAGGCTAACCATCTCCTAGTTAGCAGCACTGTTTATTACTTAGCAATAGTAGATTGTAGATGGTTTGGCATTTATTGAACGAGGGCTTGAAACATATGCACTGTGTTTACTTATTTGGTAACCATGGAATTGAACTAAACATTTATTGGCTGCATTCAAAGGACCCTAAAAAACCAGACAGCCTTCAGTGACGCAATGGCCAAGAAACTTTACTGATTCGCACGGATAATTTTTTGTGTTTGTGTGTTTTGTCAGATCTCTAAAGTCTCGTGTGAAGGTGATGGTGGACGGCACTCTTCTTATATCCAGTCTAATCCCTGGGGATTCTGGGAACTACACCTGCATGCCCACTAACGGCCTTCCAGCTCCACCCTCTGCATCAGCCATCCTTACCGTGCAACGTATGTTTGAGTGTACATGTTTGATTGGAGCATTGCAGATTAAATTCAGTCTCAGTCCATTTAGGTCAAGTTTTCAGTCCAGAATTTCTCCTGAAGCATTTGGGATTTTAGGGAGTGGATCTCATTTCTGTAACTGGCAATTAACTTAACTGGTTTGAGGCGTCTGCTCTGTTAAGAAGTCTAAATCCAACTGGATAACTTATGAAAACTGTCAGTTATATAATAGTCTGTTCTAATTTATTAATATAATATATTTATTAATATAAATTTTATCTTAAGATCAAATTTACTTAATTTTCTCCTTATCCCAAATGTAGTCTGTCAGCCAAGATACGTTGATGTCTGAAGTTTACTTTAGTTTTGCACTGGAGGCTAATTTAACTGACAAGTAATGGAAGCTAACACATCACCTTGGCATCAGGCAAACAGCATGCCAAAATCATCACACACTTCCCTCAAACTGTGTCGAGTTGTTAAATAATCTCTAATAAACTATACTATGTTACATAGATTAGTCTGTTTGTGAGTGCTTAACAACATAATCCTGAAGCAAATAAATATGTAATAAGTCTCTGAAGTCTGTAGTCGGCATCATGACCATATTATTCCAAGTATTCCAAGTGTTGAGGTTTCTCCCTGAGAATTAATGCCGTTTACAAAAATCACCACTGGGCCCTGTGGTAACAAAAATGTTCCAAACATTTTTTTGTTCCATATTGTCAAAGGATCTTTTAAATTTTGAGGTTGTTTAATGGTTGAAATATGAATAATGCTACATGCAAGCTAACCTGCACACTGAAATGCAAAAGTAAGTCTACTAGCAAATTTCAACACTGTTATATACCAACATCAGCTACTCAAACTGCAAAGCCACCAAAGTACCACATTCAGTAAAGCTTGCTGGTTTGTGTGGGGTATTTTGGTGAGGTTTTCAGTTGTGTGGTGTCGGAAAAGTGTGCTACAGTATTAGCTTACATGGAGAAACATCCGTATTTACACACCTTATCAACTTAGTAATTCAGAGGATTCAGTTGCGTTTGGCAGAAAAATCAGCAAAATGTATCAGGTTTGGAACATTATTGTTTACTACAGGATGTGACAGTGGCGATTGTCGAAAATGCCATTTATTTTTCCCATAGAGAAATCCTTTCTTATTTGAGCAGCGTCTACAGAAAGACCACATAAGCAAACCCATTTGAGGTTCCTCACTGTGTTACTTTGCCCCTCTAACAGACCCTGCGCTGGTGACTCAAATGCCTGATCAGACCTTCCTCCCGACCGGGATGAGGGGGGTGATCTCCTGCCCACTGGCCGCTGAACCCCCGCTGCTCAGAGTGGACTGGACTAAAGATGGGAAAATGCTGGACCTAGGATCTGTAAGAGTCCACTCCTGTGTATTACTACTGAACACCTGATCACACTGCTGCTTCTCCCTGCTGACTTAACTCAACTCAATGAAGCTTTATTGGCAAGACCATACAAACCCCTTAAACTCTGAAGGCCTGTATTTGGCCTGCAGTTCAATTCTTCACTCTAATAACAGAACTTACACATTAGTTTGTATTAATTTATAGTAGTTACCAAAAAGTCTTATAAATTAAGAATAATAAGCCCATAATTTAAGGCTGTTACAGTGTTGCCAAAGCACTTAAACCTGTTTATCATACATCAGTGCTACAAAATACACATACAGACAGGTGACCACACACAATAAATCAACAAATACTTAATAAATATAGCACTGGCTTATTATTTTAATCTGTTTACATTGACAAATTAAGTAGGTTTTTATTCCTTCTCATATACATGTTTGGTTGTTTATTAACTATTTTAAATTCAGCACATGGATCACACGTAACTGAGCTCTGCTGAAAAATCAATTCAGTTATCAGTTATTAATCTTAATGTTACTAAACTCTGCTAAAGCCTGAGTAGACTGATAAATCAATGAGATAATCAGTTATTAATCACCATGTTACTGAGCTCTGCTTAAGGCTGAGTATACTGATAAATTAATGAGATAATCAGTTATTAATCACCATGTTACTGAGCTCTGCTTAAGGCTGAGTAGACTGATAAATTAATGAGATAATCAGTTATTAATCACCATGTTACTGAGCTCTGCTAAAGCCTGAGTAGACTGATAAATCAATGAGATAATCAGTTATTAATCACCATGTTACTGAGCTCTGCTTAAGCCTGAGTAGACTGATAAATCAATGAGATAATTCATCTCAGTGTTGCTGAACTGTTTTGAGGCACGTTTGAACTGAACAGTCTCCCCACTAGTGGACATATTCAAAAGTGTTGTGCATTGGTGTTGTACTGGACTCATGTGTGGGAGCTTATGAGACCAGCAGTGAGGAGTAAACCATGTTACCAGAGGAATTTCATGAAATTCTGCCAACAAGTAACAGTGAGATACAGTGTGAATGAAGTAAAAATTAAAACAGCACTTTTTCCTATGTGCTTTGTTCAGATGTATTGTACTGTATTCTAAATGTGTTACTTTTTTATATATTGTGTTACACACATTACTGAATACATTTAGGACAGAGCATTTAGTATTCAGCCATCCCTGCTTTTTCAAAGCATTCTGTCCAGGTCCTATTTTACTACTGTTTTTATTGTAATTTTATTATTCTATTGGTATCTAGTGCCATTTCAGGTACAATATTGTATATTGTCAGTTTGTCCACTTTTCTTTCTTTACTGCTTTCTCAGTTTTCTGAGATCAGAGGACAGGAGACCATGTTTTTGGCTATTATTAGAACCTGATTTTAAATTTTTAAGGCATGCAATTTACGATGCCTTGTAGTGTGGGATTGAAATTTAGAGAGTTAAATATGGTAAATGTATTATTAAACATATGGTGACAAATCAAATTTCTCTCTCTCTCTAGTATCCTGGATGGACACTGACCTCAAAGGGTTCCATCGTGATAGCAACAGCTAATGACGATGCTGCTGGTGTTTACACCTGCACACCTTACAACAGCTATGGAACGATGGGCCAGTCTAAGCCAACCACAGTCATCTTACAGGTCAGAGTTTAACACTTACAAGTCTAGTGTTATTACTGCTGGTTTTATTTTAAGACAGTTGAAATAATTACAGAACTAATTACAAATAGTGACCACACTACTACTGTCAGTTGATTATGTAATTAGGTGATTGCATATGGTCACTGTAGCAATGCAATTACAGTTACATTCACTTTAGATTCTGTATTGACAGATTTTAGTCTGCACTTTTGATTTGTTTTGATGTAAAAAACAGAAAAAATGGTAAAAATCTGGCAAAAATGTTGTTCTCTCTTTCTCACTTTCAAACATTAAAATAATATCTTCTATTCTACATACAAAAACAAACATTGTATGGATTGAAAGTTTAGAATCCGCAGTTTCCATGTATTTTCTCTGCTTGTTTCAAAGAGCTACAAGTAAAAAATTCATATAAAATCACAGCATTTCTGGCACGTTTAGAACAGATGTATAACTGGCAGCGCGACTGTGACGAGGAAGCACACTCAGATTGCCTGTTATGCATCTGTTGTTAATGTCGTAGCTTAGCATATGCTCTGCTGAAAGATGCCTGGTCTGTTAGTTAATGAGCTCTTTATGAGCTGAATGTGGTGTTTTAGAGCAGAGAGACAGTGAACAGCACTGTAGAGCAGCTGCACTGACACTGAGCTGCACTGTGTGAACAGGATCCTCCGTCTCTGCGGCTCTCTCCCCGTGAGGAGTACCGGCAGGAGGTGGGCAGGACCCTCCTTATTCCCTGCCAGGCTGATGGAGACCCCCCACCTAAAGTCACCTGGACCAAAGTGAGCATCCTGGACATTTACGTTCTACAGCTTTATTAGACACGTAGTCCACTTTACTGACAGTCACATATTCACCTTTTCTTTCTCTGCTTTTTTCTTTCTTTCAAAATCCATCTTTCTTCTTTTCTCTCTTCTTTGCACTTGTCTTCCTTTTCTTTCTTTTTTCTTTCTTTCTTTCTGTTTTTTGCCTCTCAATCTACATCTTTTTCTCTTTTCCATTCTTTACTTCCCTCCCTCTTCCACTTTCATTCTTTCTTTATCCATCTCTCTATCTTTCTCTTTGTTGCTTCTCTCTCTCCTCCAGATCGGTTCCTCCACTCGTTCTCTGTACTCTGTAGCAGTGAATGGCTCTCTGCTGCTGCAGCCTCTCAGTAAAGAGCACTATGGTCAGTGGGAGTGCAGCGTGGCAAACCGTGTGGCCACCGCCACAGCCAGAACCACAGTCTTAGTGCTGGGTGAGTAATACTAACCACCATACTGGACATGCTTATTTCTCAGTTCAGCCCAGCTGCCTGAAGACATAGCAGTCAGAACAGCTGTATATACATAGTTCATATTCCGAACACCTAAAAATGTTAATTACCGGTTGACCTACTTATGTTAATAATTGCATTAATAATGCTGGGAATTGAACACTGGCCAACACTGTTGAGCACCACTTGATTAAAAACGCTTTTATATTTGTCTTCTAGTTTTGTAAAACAAACATATTTCCATTGAAATAAATTCCATCAAAATTGATGAACAAATGAACAGACCAGCAGGAGGAGCTCCAGAACAGATGGAAGTTGCATTTTATGGCTAGTGTGAAAAACAGCTAAGGAGTTAAAAAAGGATTCAATACAAACTCATAATACTGTCTTTCTTTAACTCAGGAATGCTTTAGTTCACATACGATCTTATACAGCTTAAGTATTTGAAGGGAAAATATTCAGTGCTGTGGTTTCAGTTCTGGAAGTAAAGAAGATTGATTTTTCTTTCTCTTCACTGGGCCTTTATACTGTATTCTGCTCTCTTGTGCGTGTGCATGTTGATTTGTGTGACAGGCACCAGTCCACATGCTGTTTCCTCAGTGTCTGTAGAAGTCAGAGTGAATCAGGCCAACATCTCCTGGGAGCCTGGATTTGATGGAGGTTTTACACAGACATTTTCCATCTGGTCAGTGTCTACAAGATCATCATCACTGCCCTATATGTGTGTGTGTGTGTGTGTGTGTGTGTGTGTGCGTGCGTGTGTGTGTGTGTGTGTGTGTGTGTAGCATGTTCATATTCTATGTCCAATGTGTATGCTTGCATTGCCATTTTTATATTCTTATATAAAGTGGTTCGGTGAACACAGCACAACTTCAGCTAAACTGCTGAGCTAATCGCTATGATGTATGCAGCAATGCGAGCCAAGTGAGCTAATAGAATCACATTAAGGTTAGAGGGCAAGAGTATGATTCACAAAATCACTTTCAGCTGTCAGATCCATTTTTAAACATGGTTTGCTCATATTTTAACTATTTAATCCCTACACAAAGGTCTATTTTGCTCTTTTAATAATGTGATGTCTCAATATGATATTGCATTCATTTATAGAAGTCGCTTTGTCTCAAACTGAAGTACTGTATAAAAGTCAGAGACAACCCTTTCATTTATTTAATTTCCAGTAAAAACAGCCATTAAGTACAAGGTAGTGTCAGGAAAAAAGCTGAAAATTAACCAAAAGCCTTGACAACTAAATATATCATTTACATTTATTACAGCTTGCATTCTTTTCAAAGAAATCTGCAGGGATATTTCTCAGTCTAAGAAGTTGGTTGCAAAATTTAGATTCATCAGCCCATAAAATCTTAGTCTGTGTCTCAGATGTTGAGGTTCTAGTGCAAATGTTCTTCTTTTATGTCCATTTCATTTTCTCAGTAAGGGCTTCTTGACAGCTACACATCATTTCAGGCTCATAGCATTGGGGTCATTGTCTTCCAATTCCACATGCTGATCTGTTTGAACATAAGTTTAGTCAGACATTAGGTTCCATAGGATGAGTGGTTTACAAAATACACACTTATGCACACATTTTCTAAACCGTTTATCCTTCTGGGTCACATGGGGGTGCTGGAGCCTATCCCAGTGGGCGGAAGGCAGGATACACCCTGCACAGGCTGCCAGTCCATCAGTTTGCAAAATAATATTATATAAATTATATCTAAATCACTAGGGGTGCAATTAGGGGTCCCAACAACAAGGAACTGCTTAAAACTATCATCAAAACGATGAGAAAGCTGTGTAGCTTCTTTCTTTATATTTTCTCCTGTTTGTTTACAAGCTGCTTCATAGGATCTGTATGTTTGTAACAGCCGACACATTTACATGAGAAAGAACTCATGTAAATCATAAGTAGCCACTAGTAACTTATTCAAGGAACCTCATAGCAATCCCCTAACAACCACCACAGATACCACAGCATCCACCTGGCAATCACTAGGAACACCTTAACAATCAATTAGCAACATTTAGAGACACCATATTAACCACCTAACAACACTCTAGCAATCACCTCCAATACCATGGCAACCACCTGAAACACCCCAGCAACCCCATAGCAAGGCTCTAGCAATGACAAGTTATACCATGGCACCCACTTAACAATGCCCTAGCAACCACCTCCTGTACCATAGCAACCATATAGTGCCACCCTGGCAACCCCCTAAGATGCCATAGCAATAACCTAGCAACACCCTAACAACCACCTGTGATGACAGAGCAACTACACTCTAGCAACCACTTTGGATACCTTAGCAACCACTTAGAAACACCTTAGCAACCAGCTGTCAACCATAATCAACCACAGAAGTGACCTAACAACCATCTAACAAATGCCAAGCAATACCCTAACAACCAGCTCAAACCCCATAACAACTGTATAGCAACACCATTTCCACTACCTGGACTACCATAAGAACCACCTAGCAACCACCTGGGATTACTTTATAAACCAAATTAACATATCAAAAACAATCAACAGCACAACTGATTTAAATTTTCAAGCGTTTTATCTAGCTTTGCCAAGCCTAGTTAAAGTTTGGGCAAAATTCTAGTTATTATTATTATTATTATTATTATTATTATTATTATCATTATTAATGTCTCTGTAAGTGTCTGTCTGTTTAAATAAATAAAGAAAAAAAGAAAATACCAGGTGGCTAAATGTCATGTTGTCCACTTGTTCACAAACGAGGCATGAACAGGGCCTCATACAGTCTTTATTTCTTTCTCTCCAGGCTGAAGTGTGCGTGCTCAGAAGGGGATCAGCAGGAGTGGCAGTCAGTCCCGGGTCCATCCTCTGGCACCAGCCTGCTCGTCAGTGGTCTCCTTCCATCCACAGAGTACCAGTTCAGTGTTCTGGCTCAAAACAAGCTAGGCAGTGGCCCGTTCAGTGAAATCACCACCGCCAGAACTCTGAGTAAGAACCAGCACTCATTTAACAGCTTGATAGCACTCAGCCTCTGGATCTGCCTCTCCCCCACGCTGGCCTGACCCAGTGTTAGACCATCTGTCTGTCTGTGTTGTGCACGCTGAGAGTAATTGAATCTCTTCCTGCTGCCGACTCATCTCAGCAGCTTGTGGAATTAGTGATAATTATTTTTCATTTTGCTTCCCATTCAGATGCACTTCCTATGGTGTCCGGGCTGGAGCCGCCGACACTGCTGTCCTTCAATCAAAGCTCTGAGGGCGTTTATCTGTGGTGGGCAGCACCGTCAGCTCAGCAGCCGCCAATCGACAACTTCATCCTCCAGTCACGTCTCGAAGAGGGGGAGTGGCTAAACTTAGATGAGGACATCAGTGTCAATCAGAGTGAAATGCTCGTTCTGGGTTTACAGAAGGTAAGGGCTAGTTGAGCTCCGCCCACAAATGTCTTCTTTCATAGCTACTGTTGCTAGTTGGACAGGCTTTACAGAACATTGGCAAAAATCACACTCGATTAAATGAGATACTGTAGAACTCAATTTTGTCAAAATGCAAAATTTAATTAAACTTTTACAAATACAACTTTTTAGTTTTTAGAGGGGTTGTAATGTCATTACTAATAATGCAATGAAAAGAAAAAAAAGTTGCAATACAGCAATAGCAATAAGCTTTCTTTCCATTCTATAGGTTTTATTCATAAGTTATTAAAAGAAATCATAGTGTTCATAGGACTGCATAAGCTTGTCATGACAACTGATATAACCCTGCGTAAATGTTTATAAATGCTTATTCCAGTAGATGTCTTTTGCTATAAAGGTTATATACACTAATTTTGATCAAAGCTAGCTAAAGTAGCCTTTATGACAGATGACATCTGTTGGAAAAAGCATTTATACACATTTATGTAGGATTATGTCAGTTGTCATGACAAGCTTATGTAGGTGTCATATAGCCTTTAGAACTGTTGGGTGCTACAGTAAAGTGTTACCATAACTTTTTATAAACTGACATTGTAACTTATTATAAACATGACTCATAATGCATTATGCTAACAATTTATAACACACAAAAACATTGCTATAATATGTAATGGCATTTTTGTTATAGCCATAATTCTAATGATTTATGAATGTATTATAACATAATGATGCTTGTAGATTCTTTTAGATGTGGTATTCATAAAAAGTGTTTCTGAGTAGTATTTCATTTTTTGTGCAAAATAAAAATAATTTACTCTGTATAAACTGTATATGCCAGCCATTTCTGGACAGACTTAGCACTTTAACATAGCATAGCTGTGACCCATCCCCAGCGACAGGCCTGTTCAGGTGTAGCCTTTTAGGTTGTGTAATCAAGTTACATGTACCCTGTGCAATGTGCTGAAAAGGGGACCTGTATATCTGACATATGGCACCCAGAGAAGAGCTTTTAATTCCTCTCTGTTCTCAAGCCAAAGTTATAGGGAATGTCTGTTGTGGATAAACCACTACGAATTACCATAAATTAAGGTAACATTTTATTTGAACTGCCCCTTGTAGATGCATACTTTGCAATTACTTTAAATCAGCTAAATATCTATTAAATTCACCACAGTTTGAACTCAGTCTGACCCTAGACCTAAACCTAACCTTAACCTTAATTCAAAACCTAAACCTAACCTAAACCTTCAAATTCTGACCCTTACCCTAATGCAAATGACAATCAACTCAGTTTCACTAGATTACCTTCTGTAGATAATCCATTAAAGGCTATCAAAATAAAGTGGAAGCTAAATAAATTATGCACTTTACATGTATACATTTTGTATACATACAAAAACTGAGCTGTGGGCTACAGTTTCTCATTAGAGTGAATGGAATTGTTGGCAACGCACAGTAAAGCTTGTCTACCTTCGCAAGAGTAGCTGTGAAAGCTTCTGGTAGATCATGGCTCATTGTGGGCGGATCAAGGTCAATTAGAGTTTCCTACCTCAGTATTTACAATTCAGTAGCTTGACATTTCTCCTGACCTGATAGATGCAACTCCATTGCCCTGCTCTTTCTCTCTCTGTCTGTAGAACTCTAACTATGAGCTAAGACTTCTGTCTCGCCGTGCGGAGCAGCTGAGCTTGCCCAGTCGGTCCATCAACGTGTCCACTGTGGGTCAGTGCCTGTGCCTCATTTAACTTGTCATCCTGGTGCTCTCTGTAATCGATTTAGGCTGAGATGGACACGGGTTATTCTCTTTAATCATCCATGAATTGTTTTGTTTTTGTTTATAGCGCAATTGTGAGCTGTAGCCACTTTAGGTTTTGTCACCTTAGCATGCAAGGAAAGATTTACAAGCAATTGCACATGAAGATGCATGAAATACAGTGCAGTTACATTGTCATGTGTTTTAGTGCCTTATAAATACATTTGTATATACAGTATTTACTTGTTAAGCTTCTTGGCGAGGAGGGAGGAACCTGTTTGAAGGGAAATGTAGACAAGACTCCTTTGATGTTACAGGCTTGGGTCCGACTAGTTCTCGCCTCCTGGAGTTCGTTCCCCAACCGCTCCTGGCTGGATTAATGGGCGGAATGGGATTCCTGTGCCTCGCACTCCTGTTGGCTTTAGCCACGGTATGTGTGATTGGCCACAGGAGACGCCAGCGACGCAGAAAGAGGATGGAGGGTAAAGAGACCGCGCTTTGATACATTCTCAGAAATAGAAACATCTTAGGGACTGAGCTGTGGTCTACCCAGCTCAATGAAAGGCACTTAGAACTGCAGAAAATGAAAAATAATCATCTCCCCAATTAGCATCATTTTACCTCATTCATTTGCATTGTCTCGTGCCTTCCCTCATTTCAGACCTTCCTCCTGCTATGCATAAGAGCCCATCTGTGAAGTAAGTGTACTTCATCAGCATTCATAATTCAGCTCACTTGCTCTTGCCCACAATGTTAAAGGTACTCTCTGTGAAAGTAGCTGGACAGTTTGGTTCCTGCAGCAAAACACATTCATAATCGCCAATGGGAATATCATTTTTAGCCATAATAGTTTATCTGGTCAAGATGATGGCATACACTCCTATTGGGGCCATATGTCAGTCTGATTAGAACACATGACATACGAAACCAGAGCTGTAAAATGCTAACCGTAAATATACACAAAACTATAATATATACTATAAATGAGAATCACTAATATAAAAAAGAAGAGAGAAAATATGTAATTGGATGAAAACTGTTTGACATGGAGGGAAAGTGATAAGTAATTAATTTCCCTTGCCTTTTGTCCATTTTTACATAACTTATTTGCTATGGATATATATATATATATATATATATATATATATATATATATATATACATATTTGTCTTGTAGCTCATTGGTTTGGTTGGTTGCTTAAAACACTTTATATAAGGCCATTTAGAGCCAGGACCACTGAACAGGGAACAAAAAATGAATTTTCTGTTGTAAAATGAAAAAGCATAGTGTTTTTTAACTACTGAAAATGCTGAGAATTCTGTGCGGATTCCAAATGTTTAATTGATACCACATGCGAAAAACAAAGAAGTATAAAAGTGTATACATGATTAAGCTGACATAAGCCAAAACTGACTGCAGAAATCACAGAGGGTAACTTTCATACTTACTTCAGTGAGTGATTCATGCTTTAATCCCTTGGTCCGCACTTCCTGTCTCTTTTAGAGCTGGCTCGGCTCCTGGCAGCCCTGACAGCGTCCTGAAACTCCTTCCACCTCGCCCCCTCTCCAGCTCCTCCTCCTCTTCAGACCACTCCTCTTATGGCAAGTTCAGCCACAGTGACTACCCTGGCCAGAGACAGCAGCTTCTGCCCCGTGCCCACCCTCCCTCCCACCCCCTACCTGAGAGTCATCTTCACAAGTCCCCAATCTCCTCTGTGGAGTTCATTCACCGTGGCCCAGATGGCCGCTTTGTGGTCGAACCTTGTGAAGAAGTTAGCGCTTCGGCTCCCCCTAGACACACAAAACCAAGACAAGAACTTGCCCAATCATTAGCGGGAGCTGAGGATGCCATGATTCGCAAATCTCAGTCACTACGATCGTATAGGGATGAAAGAAGGCATCCTCCTTTCGTCCTGTCAGTGGACATGCCAGCTTGTGGATCAGACATCTTTCCATCTGGTAGAGTGCAAGCAATGGCCAAACACCTTTCCCTGCGTGGCTGCTGTTCTCAAGAAGAGGAATTTGCAAACAGGGCTCTAGACCAGTCAAGCCTTTTCTCAGAAAGCAGTGGTTCTGTGCTAAGCCCGCAGTTAGACAACTATATGTCCCTGAAACAGGCCAGCACACATTCCACTGCCAGTACCCTAGTTCTGCAGATGGAACATGAAAGGGAACAGGGCAACCTGAACCGTTGTTTAAAATTGGCCCAAGAGAGAGAGGAACTGGAGCGTGAGCTGCGCAAGTACAGTCTCAGTCGGGACACCGTCGTCCGCTATAGCAAGAGAGGGGGGTCACTCAGGGTTGAACAAAAGAAGGCTGCCGAGGGCGAGGAGGGGACACTGTGGAAAAGTAGGGGAACCGGATCCTTGCATAGTAAACAGTTGTCTAGCAGAGGGCACTGTCTTTCCAGTGACACCAGTAGTCTAGGAGTAAGAGCTTCTTCCTGTATTCCGTGGGAGGCTACTCCTATGATGTCTTCCAGTGACTTGGTGCCACAACATAGTTGCCATGGAAGAGCTGGCGAGCGCTTGGAGGACTGTCATTTGAGCCAGATATCAGTTCACCAGAGATCCAGAAGTCTGGAACGAGGGGAGCATCAGAAGTCACATACTAAAGACCGGAGGCGGAGACGAACCATGATTGAAGGTATCCCTGTAAGTGTTGAGGATGAACCCTTTTATCCCACACTGGAAAGAGCTCATTACACTGCGGGGGGCAGCCCGAGGATTCCAGGGACCTACAGTCACAATGAACACCGTACTGTCCCTAGTGTGAGTAACTCATTAGATAAGCAGCAGGAGAGGATCAGAGGGCAGGCTGGCCGTGCTGGTGATTATGTGGAGATGTCTGTGGATGAGCCAGAAGAGCAGACTCCACTCGCAAGGGCAATGATAGACTACAGTTGTGATACACTAGATTACCACAGACCCAGTTTATATCAGCTAGAAAGAGAGAGTCAGATGAAAAGTGATTCAGGCTACAAAACTATTCGAAGAGGCTTAAGGAGGGATCTGGAGAAGCTGAGTGGTCAGTCAAGCAAAACCTTGCCTTCCCAAAGGCGGACTCCTCACAAAAGTCTTAGCGTAGGTTCCCAGCATGATAATCATCACAAGAGTACCCCTAGTTTGGACTCCAAATTGTACAAGGAGCAGTTCCTGACCCCCGATGCCTGGATCGACTCACTGAGCTCCTCTCCTTTTACGTGTCGTCCTAATTCAGAGCTACAGAAGCACCATTTCATTCCCAACAAGGAAACCGATTCATGGGTGCCTTCAGAAATTGAGCAGCAAGACTCTCATCCTCAGCCGGCCTCTAACTCCCTCGGTGCCTCTACCTCAGACCCCCACCAGCACCTAGACTCCATGCATCACAGTCCACCCACCTTGCCACTAGAGGGCTCCAGCTGGTCCCACTGCCACTCTCGACTAGACCAAATGAGCCAGAGACATGAGGAAGAGGAGGAAGAAGACGGGCCAGAGGTAGATGTGGAGATCCGAGGGTACCGGGACATGCCAGAACCTGAAGGGAGCTGCAGGAGCTATGCTAGCCAGAGCAGCGGCAGGGGGAGCCTGGATCATCCCAGCAGCAGGCAGTCCCTATCTCTCAGCCCCCCTCTCACCAGCTCTCCAGAGACCACCGAGGAGAGTGACAGAGACGACACAGCCCTGCACAAGCAGGCTTTGAAGGAATGGTAAGAGCTGAAACTCTCTGTCTTGCTTTACTTTATCTGATCTGTTTATTCATGAATGTTCTTTAAAGAACCATGTTATGGAAACCAAAACACACAGTTTGACGTACTACATGTTAATTGTTAAGGTTTCACAATGTGCAGTTCACTACTCAAACCATACAGTCTAGAAATTGAAAATAAGCTGCAAAAGCAGCCCAGATTAGCCCTCATGGTTATGATATTACAACCATGAACACATTTTCATGTGACTGCCCATTCAGCCTGCACTGGAAAAAATTGTGAAATCATCTTTAAATCCACTCAAAATAACCAATATTTCTCATTTGATGATTGTTGTAGGAATAATATAGAGTGTTTAACTTATTTCTAAGTGTTTTTTGGTAAGTTTGTCTTATTCCACTGAAAAATAATTCGTCTTATTTATTTCAGGAAATAATGTAGATATTTCAAAGCAAAATGCTTTCATATCATGGAAACCGAATTTTCTTCATTTTTTAAATAAAAGAGGCTGAAAGTAGTATGTAAATGCTAGTAGAGTTTCTAAACATATCATTCTCATTCACCTACTGTGTACGGTCCATATACGGAAACTATGCTCCAAAAACAGCCATTTTGAATGAATTGTTTCTGTGATGTCACAAGAACCAACTTTACAAATATCCATCTATTCAGCCTACAGATGTTTATCCCCATCCATTTATATTGAAGTTCTAAGGATTGTTTCAGCTCTAAGTGCTTTTAAATGAGGCATAATACAGAGCATCCATAAAAATGAATTAGGATCATTTCTGGTACATAAAAACAAACATCATAAGTGGACAAAATGTGGGATATGGGCCTTTTAAAGCATAAAAAATATCGGTGAGTGGAATAAGACCACTTTTTTACCAGATAAAAATGCTTATAATAATTTTAAAAGGTCTAAAGATAGGTTAAAATATATTTGAGTGTTTTATAACAATCTCAAAATATGAAACATAGGATATTTTGACTAGATTCAAGATCATTTTACTTGCCAAGATATAATTTTGCAGTGTTTCCTGAATGGGCTGTCATATGAAAAGGTGACATCAAAACCATGAGGTTATTAAATTGGGCTTAGGTTACATTTACAGACTGTATGAACTGGAAAATTCTGAACTGGAACTGTACATTTTGAAACTTTAATTTTAAGCTCAGATTTTCCTCAGCTTGCACACAAATTAATAATTAAACCCCTTATGAACTGAATCAAGTGAGGTGGAGAGAAGATAAAGCGCAAAACTGTGTGGGTCAGGGGTCTGTGGCTGATTTCCACTGATGTAGTGTGTATCAGCATATCAACACAGAGGGGTTACATTCCATTTTGTTTCAGAGTATTAAGTTAAACATACAGCTTGAAGCAAAATACAAAAATCAAAATACATTAGCTCCAAGTGCAGAAAGGTTCATATGCCATTGCTTAAAGTTTAATAGTGTAATATTTGAAATTCGTGACCTCTTCAGATGTGCTCCGCAGCATTTCGTTGTTAAAGGTTGGCTTTGAGGATGTGTGCCTCGTCATTAATTAAACACGATGCCTTTTAATACTGCATGTGCACCTTCTGTCCCTGGACTCTCCACATTTTCTCTCTGTACACGTCTTCAGCCCCAGGAGAGCCTCCGTGGATGAAAACTACGAGTGGGATTCTCACTATGTCTCCATGCACCCCGTGGACCCGAAAGCTTCAGTCAGCACAGACGGCCTGGAGAGAAAGATCCGGAGCGAGGGAAGGCAGAGGAGTCATGCCGTGGACGACAGCAGGCCGGGCTTCAAAGATGAGAAGAAAGGTGGGAGGAAATTGGTGATTCAGACAATGCTTGAAAGATCCTCTTCCAGTAAGAGAGTAGACCCGCAGGGAAATTAAATAATCGCATGGAAACAGTGGCAGCGTAAACTCATAAT